GCATTCCCTTCAGAAACAAACGTAATCCACTGCGTTTTCAGCGGCTCAGATGTCGGGAGTAAATGACGACTGCTATGTTCATTATTACATCCAACAACAGAACACCTCGATTGCTTAGGAGTCATTCTTGTCTACAACTGCTCCAGCGGTGAAACAATGGCAGACTGATGACAGCTCACTCATGGTGGGTCTAAGGTAAGACATCAGTCCAGTCTGTGCTGAAACGCAACTGTCAATCAAACTATCGTGGGAGGGGCCTGTCTGTGTGACGTCACACAGACAGGCATCTGAGATCGGCTCGATATGAGAAAGGGGAAAAGATTTAACCAGATAAAAAAAAAAACACTGGGTGGATTTTTATCATTATAGGGTGGTTGTGTACACACACTGCCAACACACATTTCAGTTCAAACAACTTGTAAAAGTGCATGTAGCATCCTATGACCCCTTTAAGAATTGTGCTATAATAACCCCTACAAATGCAACTCATATGCCCTAAACACTTTAAAAGAGACAGACACGTAAATGTTTGTGAAAGATGTTTTCTCTGTTTTGGAGGGATGAACATTGTTAAATTATACAATATTGTTTGCATCAAATTTTTTTATATTTTACTATAGGTTAGGGGTGGGTAATTTTAGTTTTCATTAATAACCATTGCTATATAGATAATAACTTTGTCTAGTGCTCTTATGAATGTTTTTAGCATGACTTTGTGAAAATGTAACTACTATACTGAATGACTTAGCTTAGACTTCTTCATGGCTAGTGTTTGCGTATTTCATTTCATTCTGTAACCGTCTTGTTCTACAGATTTTGACAGCGTTGATAACATTTCTGACATTTAGAATGACTTTGCGACAATTAAACTACTATACTGAAAGAAATAGCATAGACTTCTTCATGGCTAGTGTTTGCACATTTCATTTAATTCTCCTCCAACCTACAGATCTGTATAGCCTACTAGTGTTAAATGCTACTGTTTTTGATAACGTTTCTAACAGATAAAAACAATTTTTTTTTTTTTTTTTGCCTTACCGAATGTGGTATCCTGTCAGCAATAACCTGCCTGTGGGCTTTTTTGATTACTGTCAGTTTAAGTGCCTAAACATGCAGACACTCATATTAGGAGTTCTAAATAGCAAATTCGTCATTCAGAGAAATGTTATTTCTGAACATGAAAAATTTACAGAGGTCCGGACCTTGGTGACCTCATAGCTGGCTACGGGCATGCTCACAGGTCCTCCAAGGGATAAACACCATTGTGAAATGGATTGAATGCTTCACACCCACTCAGAGACGGGAGGAGTTACAGACTAGATGAGCCTCTGCTTTCCATTACAGTGCATGTGTTATGTTAGCCTGCTAACCCCTTTCCAGAACAAACGTCTTGATCGTATTAAAGCAGAGTTCAAATAAGATCTTTCAAAATTAAAAGACTGTTTAGATGAAATCTTTAAAGTTTTAAATAATATTTTACTTGTCTGTTTGCAAATTTAACCTAAATTATGATTTTTATTCAACAGTACCTGTTCAAAACTTTAAATTATATAATTGTATTTAGTTGTTTATTTTATTTTAGAGCATATTCCTGCTTAAAAGGCTAAATAAAAAGTGTCCTTATTGTCCTACTATGTAGTGTCTGGATTCAATATCTGGACATCCTGTGATAGCTACATGATCTAGCTCTGCACTCAGGGTGCGAACTACGGGGGAGCTAGGGGGAGCTCGGCTCCCCTTAATAAGACATGGGCTCCCCTGAAAACGGGATTTGTGAAATTTTGGGGGGTCTCAAAAAATATTGACAATGTGTTATTTTGACGTGCAATTTCAGTTTTGTGTAATGTGATCATCGTGGATTATTATGTGTAAAATTGCAAAAATATAATTCATTCATGTATGACGGCGATTTAAACCTAATTCACTTCAATAAAGATAACTATACATGCTATTCGCAGGTTTTGACAAACCTACATTTATTTTACATTCATTCAACATATTTTATTCAATAATTTTGCACGAGTACCATGGTTACATGCTTTTTAAAAAAAGGCTTTTCTAAAGCTTTAGATGCATCAGAATGTGGATTTTCAGCATCCAACATGAAATTAAAGAATTGTATCAGCTGAGCTTGTTTCAACTGTTTATTACAATTTCTTATGTTATTATTTTTTGACTCACATGAATAGATATAGAATAAACCTTTTGGTCCATGCTTTTCCCCTACAGACCCCAAAGATAATATCCAAACAAGATCTTTGTGAGCACAATTGTAATTCAAGAGGCCTAGTTACTCAGAAAGTGTTTACATCATATAAGAAAACCATATCGCATACAGAATACAAAAAGAACCATTTAGATCTATTGTGACTGGCATTTTACCTCCAGTAAAGTCATAATGTCAGGATTACGGATGACGCTGTTCACATTTTGTTTGTTGGAACGTATATGTCTTCAGGTGAGGTCTCCTCTCTGAGAGCCGTCAACGTTTAGTGTTTATAGAAATAAGTGAAAATTAAGAAAATTTCTACTAGTGTTTGACTAAATCGATATTTCTTTTAGTGCAATTATCCATCTCTACAATGAACCATCAACACAAAGTAAGTCTTGCTGTTTTACACTATTACAACTGAAACATATCTAAATGTTGCACTGAAAGCTTCACGAAGCTAAAGAGATAAACAAAGTTCCATGCTCTTGAAAAGGCTACAGACAGAAAATATAAAGGATTTTTTAGAGAGCAAAACTCCTACAGTATGTAACTCAAGAGACCAAATCACTAAGAAAATCACTATTTGAGTACAGAAAATTCAGCTTGGGATTAATTGTGTATATTTTTGTATTGTAAATCATTTTTTCTAACACCACTAGATTTAGACCTGTAAACTAGTATTTATATTAAAATTATTTTAAATGTATTAATGTACTGTACTAATAAACACATTAATTTGTACTGCAATTGTTTTACCGTTTACTGCACTTTGTTAAGTGGG